GGGAACTAGAATGAAAAGTTCCTTATATGATAAAGAAAATACCATATAAGGAAGCTTGATGAAATATTGAAACTTTAGCCCTAAAATTGGGAGACAAAGATGACAGCTATTAATGCTTGTACTCAGCATTATATAGGACATTCTAGCCAGCAACAAAGCAGTTAAAGAAACTGAAAGTGTGAATTGGAAAGGAAGAAATACAACAATCATTATTTTTAGTTGATGTTGGGTACTTGCCCAAAACAATCCACAGATAAACCATTAAAAATTAATAAGAAATTTTTTAGTAAGATTACTGAGTATAAGGTCAAACTAGAAAAATCAATTGTATTTCCATGTACCAAAACAATTGAACAAAAAAAAATTTAAAAGATACCATTTATTTTATTTTTATTTTAGAGACAGGGTCTTGCTCTGTCACTGAGGCTGCAGTGCAGTGGGACAAACACAGCTCACTGCAGCCTTAACCTCCTAGACTCAAGTGATCCTCCTGCCTCAGCCTTCCATGTAGTTGGGACCACAGGTGTGCACCACCACACTCAGCTAATTTTTTTTTTAAGAGACAAGGTCTTGCCATGTTGCCCAGGCTGGTCTCAAACTCCCAGGCTCAAGCAATCTTCCCACCTTGGCCTCCCAAAGTGCTGGGATTATAGGCATGAGCCACTGCAACCAGCCAAAAACCAAAAGATACCATTTAAAATAGCAAAAGATGGCTGGGCATAGTGGCTCACTCCTGTAATCCTAGCACTTTGGGAAGCCAACATGGGAGGATCACCTGAGCCTGGGAGTTCGAGACCAGCCTGGGCAACATGGCAAGGTTCTGTCTCTAAAAAAAAAAAAAAAAAAAAAAAAAAAAAAAACTAATTAGCTGGGAATGGTGGCATGCACCTGCAGTCCTAGCTACTCAGGAGGCTGAGGTGGGAGGATCACGTGAGCCTGGGAGATTGAGGGTGCGGTGACCTGTGTTCGCTCCATTGCACTCCAGCCTGGATGACAGAGTAAGACCTTGTCTAACAACATTAATATAAAATAGCAAACACCACCAAATATCTAAGAATAAAACTAATAAAAGATGCACAAGTTACCTACACCAAAAATCACAAAACATTACTGAGAGAAATTAAAGAAACCCCAAACAAAAGAGGGTGAGGCATGTTTGTGAATCAGAAGACTCAATATTATAATAGTGTCAGTTCTCTCCAAACTGATTCATATAATTAACTAAATCCCAAGAAAACTATTAAGACTTTTTTAATGGAAATTGAAAATCTGATTCTACAATATGTAAGATAATGCTACGGGCTAAGAATAGCCAAGATAATCTCAGAGAATATTGTTAGAGAACTTGGATAAACACTTACAAAAGCTAGAATAATTAAGATAGTGTAGTACTGACATAAGGATAGACAAAGATCAATACAACAGATTCGAGAGACCAGAAACGAACTCCCAAATTTATGGTCACCTGATTTATAACAAAGATGACGTTGGAATGCAGTGGGGGAAAGAATGACATTTTATTTTATTGTTATTTTTTTGAGATAGAGTCTCACTCTGTCATCCAGGCTGAAGTGCAGGCACAATCTCAGCTCACTGTAACTTCCGTTTCCTGGAGTCAAGCGATTCTCCTGCCTCAGTCTCCCTAGCAGTGGGGAGTACAGGCATGTGCCACCGTGCCCAGCTAATTGGCTAATATTTTTGTATTTTTAGTAGAGACAGGGTTTCAATATGTTGGCCTGGCTGGTCTCTAACTCCTGACCTCAAATGACCCACCCACCTCAGCCTCGCAAAGTGCTGAGACTATAGGCGTGAGCCACCATGGCCAGCCAATATTTATTTATTAAAATACACCGTAGCAAGAACTATGATAATTACCAGGACAAGATCATGCATCTTAAAAAAAAAATTCAGAATACAAATGTAATAAGGCAGTCAAGCTGTGATTTCTGTAAATCTTTCTAACTTGTTCAAGATACCAAAGTGCACTAACACTTGATTTATTAACAATTGACTCTTTGGTTACCTCTGCTATTAGAAAAAGACAATACATCAGGCATAATACCTATGTAACCATGAAACTCCATTTAGTGGGGAAAGCTATGGAATATGCTATCAGACAGACCTGGATTTCTGTTCTAGCTTGCAACTTACTGTCTGTGAGATGCTGAACAAGTCGCTTAAATTTTCTAACCTCAGTTTTCTTACCTGAAAAATGGAGATAAAAAGATAATTTCCCATACCTAAGGTAGACTGGAGGTAAGGTGATTTACTGGACAAGGAAGGAAATGCCTGATATTGTTATCTGAATATGGCAAAGACATGAAGATTAAATGATTATGCCTCAAACTTAACTTTTCCACAATAGTTTTTATTTTCCATATCCAACTCTACTACTCTTCCAGATTTTCTCATTCTACTAAATGATTAAGGCTAGAAATAAAACTTGAGTTTCTTTTCCTTACCATCTCCAACACTTCATTTATCAGCAATTCAGTCAGCCCTATCTCCAAAAGTATCCCTGACTACTTTTCCCTGTCTTTGTTGCCAACATTCAAGTGCAAACTGTCCCAGACTCTGCAACAGCCTTCGCCCTGCTTCTGCTTTCACTCACACTTCAATGGACTATTCAGCTGTGATCTTTTAAAAATGGGATTCAGATTACACCACTCCAGCTCTAATAGCTTCCCAGTGCAAATGAAATAAAATCTAAACTCTTTACTGTGGCCCATAAGGCCCTATACAATCTGGCTCGCACCTACTTCTCTTATTTTGTACTCCTTGACCCTACATTTCCTGGAATTTAGACCTATGCTGTCTGATATGAGAGCTATGAGCCACATGTGGCTATTTAAATTAGAATTAAAATTCCGTTCCTCAGTCACGTAGCCACACTTCAAGTTCTTAATGGACAGAAACATATAGCTATTGGCTACTGAACTGGATATCACAAAATGAAAGATATCCATCAGCACAGAAAGGTTCATGGGACACCACTGCTCTAGACACATGGCAAGCTCATTCCTACCTTCAGGACTTTGTACTTACTACTCCCTCTTCTGCAAGGCTCTTTCCCCCAGATTTTGAGATGGCTGGCTCCGCCCTCTAAATTAGATTGGACCATTCAATCTGAAATAGCTCCTTACCTCCCCCATCCCCAGATATTCTATATTCCTTATCCTGTTTTATTTTCTTCACAGCATTCATCACTATCTGAAATTATTTTGTTTTATTCTTCTGTTTCCAATGACAGAATGTTAGCTCCATGAAGGCAGAGACTATGTTTGTGTGCTCACAGCTGTATGTATAGTGACTGGAATACCACCTGGCCCATAAGAAGTATAAAATAAATTGTTGAACAAAGCAATAAATATGGACCTGAAAGAACATGAGTTTTGGAGTTAAACCAACATGAATTCCACTCTTAACCCTTCCATTTACCAGCTGTCAAATCTAAAGAAAAGTTATTTAATCTCCGAGCCTAGTTCATAGTGTTTTCATGAAGATTAAGACAAAGCATGCAACATGCCTTGGATTGTTACTATTAAAACAGCCCCTTACTGAGGCAGGAGAATTGCTTGAACCTGGGAGGTGGAGGTTGCAGTGAGCCAAGATCGCGCCACTGCACTCTAGCCTGGGTGACAAAGCCAGACTCCATCTCAAAAGACAAACAAACAAACAAAACAGCCCCTTAAAGTTGGGAGAACAGAAAAACACCAAAAAAAAAAGTGGGGGGAATGGGGGTGTCACACCTGTAATCTCAGCACATTAGTTGGGAGGCCGAGGCAGGCAGGTGACTTGAGGCCAGGAATTCAAGACTAGCCTGGCCAACATGGCGAAACTCCATCCCTACTAAAAATACAAAAATTAGCCCGTAGTGGTGGCACATCCCTGTAATACCAGCACTTTGGGAGGCCGAGGAGGGTGGATCACCTGAGGTCAGGAGTTTGAGACCAGCCTGGCCAACATGGTGAAATCCCGTCTCTACTAAAAATACAAAAATTAGCCCGTAGTGGTGGCACATCCCTGTAATACCAGCACTTTGGGAGGCCGAGGAGGGTGGATCACCTGAGGTCAGGAGTTTGAGACCAGCCTGGCCAACATGGTGAAATCCCGTCTCTACTAAAAATACAAAAATTAGCCCGTAGTGGTGGCACATCCCTGTAATACCAGCACTTTGGGAGGCCGAGGAGGGTGGATCACCTGAGGTCAGGAGTTTGAGACCAGCCTGGCCAACATGGTGAAATCCCGTCTCTACTAAAAATACAAAAATTAGCTGGGCGTGGTGGCACACACCTGTAAGCACAGCTACTCAGGAGGCTGAGGCAGGAGAACCACTTGAACCTCGGGAGGCAGAGGTTGCAGTGAGCCAAGGTTTCGCCACTGTACTCCAGCCTGGTCCACAGAATGAGACTCTGTCTCAAAAAAATATAAAAATAAATGATTATTATAGTAAAGCAGACCATTTCCTCTTTTCTACTATAGAAAATAACTATCATTAATTAATTAATGAACTTATTTTTTGGACACAAAGTCTCATTTTGTGGCCTACCCTGGAGGACAGAGGTGCAATCATAGGTCACTGCAGCCTTGACCTTCTGGGCTCAAGCTATCCTCCTGCCTCAGCCTCCTGTGTTACTAGGACAGCAGAAAAATATAAGAGCTATTTTTAAACACTTAAGGCTTCAGCTTAGCATACTACATTAGATTTTAACTCTGCGGTAGAGATTCTGATAGATTTAGATTTATAGTTCTGATTCTGGTAGTGTTTGATCCACCACTACCTAGAGTGGAACCATGATCTAGTCACTACTCTCTGAAGCTCAATTTTCCTTTTCTTAAGATGGTTCTATTAAGATTAGAGAACTAGTAAGATCCTTTCATTTTACCACTGAGATTCTTCAATTTCATTATCTTATAGATAACTGTACTTCCTTTATCTTTCCAAATGAATTATGATGATGAATTATGATGACAAGAAATCATTAATATTTAATACAAACCTCCATCAAGGCTCCGGGATGCCCGTTTACTTGCTGTACGCTCAAAGTGTGGGGCAGGCCTGTCAATTAGAGCACTAGCTTGCCTGGTCTGAGCTTGAGTCCGGCCACTATATCGAAATTTGGATCCCAGTGCAAGAAATTTGCTTTTGGGAATGGTATCTGTAGATGTCAATCTGGGGGGGGGAAAGTCATAATAGTCATATTATTATATATTCATCTCATCATTGTAACACTGTAGAAACAAAATCAAGAATAAAAAAGTTTCACATTTCTTAGGGTTTCCACAGTTACTAAGAGATTTTCAATCAAGTAACCATTATTTTAGTTCTTTGTCATTTCTCAAAGCAACCAGTATAATTTAGTTGGGACCTATATTAATAGCATCATTTATATCTCTATAGAAAGGGCCTTATAGTTTTCAAAATGTTTTTATAGCACTGCAGTATTTTTGCTACATCCTTGTAATGTTTTCACCATTTTATAGATATAGGAAACTGAACTTCAAAAAAGAAGTTACTTGCTTAAGATCACACAGCTGTTAGGATATTGGCAGTAACAAAGTCCAAGCCCAGAGCTCTTTTTCCATTCTACTAGAATCACAGTTTTGTCAAATGTCCTCCAAACTGAATTAATCCCTAGTAATCTATTTAACAGGTTATTTGGTAAACTTTTAAACTCAGTTAGAAACCCCATCTTTTTCTGATGCAGTACTCTATGTATGCTTTGTACCATACTGAATTAAAACAATCTATTTCTATGCTGGTCTCCCCTACAAGACTGAATTCTCTAGGAGTAAAGAACAAAGACCATGACTTACTCATCTTTGTGTTTTGGCTTCTGGCATAGTGCCTAGCATGAATATGGTACCCCATAAATATTTGTTGAATAAATACATAAATTACTACATCAAATACTACCAAAAAGAGAGTATTTTTCCCTTTGAGATAATTAATTTCAATTCAGCAAACATACACTTTCTTTTATGTAATGGAGCATTACATTTTAAGGTATCCTTTTATTTTGATGCAACAGATTTAAATATGCCATCCTACAAATAAGTATACTGGCTGCAGCTGAAATCTATACCACAGTTATTAGATATTCAAAAATCACTCTTTTTTACTCCTTGCCCTTTTTTAAAAATTCTACTTCTGTGGTTTGATTTTAAAGGAGGGATGATGAAAGCATAAATAAATGTGTTAATGCCAATAATTAAGATTCTTTAATTGGGTATAAAATGCACCCTCATGTTTTATTTTGAAATAACTGAAAAATATTTTCCTTGATTTTTCTCCCTGTCAATTGTGCTATAGTGCTATTATATGAAAATATAAATAGGAAAAGATATGAGGATTATCTCTCTCTCTTTTTCTGTGGAGAGCCATTTATAAAGAATTAAGTTTATTTATGAAACAAATGATGTGAGGCCTGGGATTTGCTTCAAAATAATCTTGGAAGTAGGGGGAAGGAGTAGGTAGGGATACAGATGAAACAAGATTGGCTTTGGGATGATAATTACTGAAGCTGGGTGATAAGTACAAGGAGATTTTATTGTACTGTTGCTACATATGAAATTTTCCTTAATGAAGAAATTCTTAAAAAGGCAAAGTAGGGCAGGTGTGGTGGTTCACGCCTATAATCCCAGTACTTTGGGAGGCCAACGTGGGCAGATTACCTGAGGTCAGGAGTTTGAGACCAGCCTGGTCAACATGGCAAAACCTCGTCTCTACTAAAAATTTAAAAATTAGCTAGGCATGGTGGTGTGCACCTGTAGTCCCAGCTACTTGGGAGGCTGAGGCATCATGTTACTGCACTCCAGCCTGGCAACAGAGTGAGACTCTGTCTCAAAAAAAACCAAAAAACAACAAAAGGCAAACTGATAAGTAACTAGCTAGTTCTCCTTTTAACACAAGTAATTACTTGTCTAAAGTCTGTCTTCTCTACTAGATTGGGTGTTCCATCATGAGAGAGACTAGAACTATCTTTTGGTATATTCCCAATGCCTACCATGGTGCATACAAGAAGGGTAAGCACACAGAAAATGTTTGGTAAATAAATTCAAGGGGTTAACAATATGGCCTCTTGGCACGGTGGCTCATGCCTGTAATCCCAGCACTTTAGGATGCCAAGGCAAGTGGATCACTTGAGGTCAGGAGTTCAAGACCAGCCTGGACAACACAGTGAAACTCCGTCTCTACTAAAAATACAAAAAATAGTCAGGCATGGTGGCGGGCATCTGTAATCCCAGCTACTTGGGAAGCTGAGGCAGGAGAATGACTGGAACCCGGGAGCAGCCAGCACAGACTGCACTCCAGCCTGGCAACAGAGCAAGACTCCATCTCAATCAAACAAACAAACAAAAAAAGCAGAGGAAATGCTTTCTTCTGTCTTCTGATTATCTGGCACAATTAGGCTTCAAATATAGTTCTGTATGCTCCCTTTCTGGGGTTGATAAGAGCCAAGCTAACAATCAGCTTCACATCTTTAACCTTGTCATATAAAAGCCTCACAGAAAGCAGTTAAGCATTGCTTAAAGAAACTCCATGTAGAAAAAATAATAATAAAACAAAAAAATAAAAATTCTGTCAGGTGCAGTATCTTACGCCAGTAATCTCAGCATTTTGGGAGTCTGAGGCAGGCGGATCATAAGGTCAGGATTTTTGAGACTAGACTGGCCAACTGTTTCAATAGCCAGCGAAACCCCGACTCTACTAAAAATATAAAAAATTAGCTGGGCATAGTGTCGGGTGCCTGTAATCCCAGCTACTTGGGAGGCTGAGGCAGGAGAATTGTTTGAACCGAGGCAGAGGTTGCAGTGAGCCGAGATCATGCCACTGCACTCCAGCCTGGGCGACAGAGCAAGACACAAAAAAAAAAAAAAAAAAAAAAAAAAAATTTCATGTGGAGGCAAATGAGGGTAACTTCCCTTAATCAGACTGACTTTAGTCACAATTTGTGCAATCCCAGAGCCCCTAATAAATGCAGGTTTCCATTCCTTACTCCTTTCTTCCTTCTACCATACATAGAAAGGTGCTTTGGAAATGTTGAGGCATACTTTTCAACCCAAAGGGAGAGAAATGGATTCATTTTGTCTTGCTTAAGATGATCTCACCGGAGCTAAATAAAAGAGTGCCAGTCAAACAAAGAAAGGAATTTTAATAGCAGGCTTAAAATAGAAACATTATAAATAATTTATCCTTGAAAAATACTTAAGTGAGAATAATACCTGAAAAACGTGTGATGTTCTACACAGACTTTCCATAATTTCTTAGCTGCTCGGTAACTGGGAAGTTTGAATCCGATGGTACTTTCATACTGTTCTTGCTACAAAAACACAAATAAACATGGGACATGAAGTTATTACATGTGATACAGTACCAGATTACAGTGATCAGTACCAGAGAAATATGGTGCCACAGAAGAGGCCACTGTTACCAATTTAAGGACATAAAATGCATTTTAAATTTTTTCCTACTTACTGAAAGAAATTCACTCACTGGGGGTGGCTTTTTCCAAAGCAAGAAAACCAGGGAATACATCTCATATCATCTATGCATGTTATTTTGTTTTTCAGAAAACACACACACATTCACTATACATTTTTCTGAGACATAATTAAGTCACCTTTTGATTGTCCAGACACTGCTTTTCCTTAGTCACTATCTGCATTTGAGATACCATTCAATGAACAAGGAATGGGATATTGACCAAGTTCTCCAATCAATCAATATTATTATGCAATAGAAATTAGTAATAGGAGCTAAAGATTTTAGTTCAAGTCAGATTTTTAAATCAATCTTTTAAGCTGACTAATAAAAATTATATATACTTATCATCTATGACATGTTGTTTTGAAATATGTATACTCTGTGAAACGGCTAAATTGAGCTGATTAACATATGTATTACCTGACATATTTATTAATTTTTTGTGATGAGAAAACTTAAAATCTAGTCTCTTAGCAATTTTTCAAGAATATAATACATTGCTATTAATGATAGTTCACCATGTTGTACAACAGATCTCTTGAACTTATTCCTCAGATTCTTAAATCACTAAATGTTTCTCTTTTTTTCCTTTGATTGATGATTAATTTATCTAGATACCACTTTAACTGAAGCAAACCATATTCTGCCAGGGCTACTAAAAACACTGTCCTGTTGACCTTTCACCTCTTTGTTTCTACTTTAACCATTTTTTTTTTTTTTTGAGACAGAGTCTCACTCTGTTGCCAGGCTGTAGTGAAATGGCCCGATTTTGGCTCACTGCAACCTCCTCCTCCCAGGTTCAAGCCATTCTCCGGCCTCAGCCTCCCAGGTAGCTGGGACTACAGGTACGCATCACCATGCCCAGCTAATTTTTGTATTATTTTTTAGAAGAGACGGGATATCACCATGTTGGCCAGGATGGTCTCAATCTCTGGACCTTGTGATCCACCTGCCTCGGCCTCCCAAAGTGCTGGGGCTACAGGCGACAGCCACTGCACCCGGCAAACTTTAAGCATATTTTATAAGATGGAAAGGAAACTAACACTTATTTTGTGTCTACTATTGCCAATAACATTATGATTAGATAGTATCATGTATATTTTTACACATGAAGGCACTGAGGTCAGAGAAGTTTTTTTTTTTTTTTTTTTTTTTTTTAACTATGTTTTCATCTCTGTATTTTTTTCTTTTATTCAGCCATTTTTTTTTACTTTCTTTGAATAGGACTTTTTTTTTTTTTCCTGCCAGATACCTCTAGTTCAAGAGGTCAGAGAAGTTATTTGCTCATTTCCACAGGTATGAAATGACAGAACCAGATTTTCACCCTCTTCACCATACCACACCACAGTGAAATCATCTATTGCAGCCACAATACTCTGTTTCTCAAAATCCTGTTATTCTTGATTATCTTCTTAAATAAGAATTCTACCTTTTTAGAAGCTAAAGACTTCCCATTATCATATTAACATGTGTGAGGGGTGGGATTCTAATTTGCTGTTATATTCCTGGTCCCTAGAATAGTGTCCAACACAGGAAAGCTCTCAATAAATATTTATGGACTGAATAACTCTTGAATTTGAAATTTTAAGGGAAGACACTGATTGCTCTGTGCTAGGCATAGGTAAATAATTATGATACGAAATAAATGCTTCTATGGTAATCCCCATCCAAGATTTTTAAGGCTGCACATCCAGAATTTCCAGGCTCAAATAAAGAGCCATTTTTCACCAGCAGATGGTGATATATACATAAAAAAGCTACTTAAGGTTAGTATCATTTCCTACATAGAACTTTTACAGCTGTCATCTCATTTGATCTTCAAATAACTATGATGGAGAGGTTATTATCCTGTTCAAATGACAAGGAAGTTGAGCCTTAGATTTGTCCAGGTCTTTTGCTTAGTATGTGGCAGAAAAGAAGCCAGAACTTTTTTAAAAAAAACTTTAATTCCTACTTTAACAATTTTATGCTATTCCATAATGGCTCTTCAATACAAAAGTTAAATTTGGCCAGCATTAGTATATCCTGAAACCAACTAATAAATGAATTATCTGGTATGAAGTTGAACATCCAACTCTATTAAAAATCTAGAACTTGGCCCTAGAACACACTCTCAGTAGCCATGAGAAGCTACGCATACATATAAATTTTAATTATATGAGGTAAGGGATTCGTGGGGCCGAAAATGAGTAATTTATCCCCCCAAATAATTTTAAAATCTCATGCTACTCAATTTAAAAATATTTTTCCATTAAGTTTTTGCTTGGAGTAAACAAGAACAAATCTATCAGTTTAACTTTTTGTGATGGCATATTTACTTATAAAAAGTGAACGTCCAGAAGACCAGTAGTAAGAGAAAGCAGCAGCATCACAGGACTGATCAACTTAGAAAACGGAATTATCAGTCCTTGAATAGTTAACTACAGAGAAACTTCTTAGATGACTTAATCAGGAAAATGGAAATGAACAGATATGTCAGATACAGTCTGCATCTGGTTTAGCAGGAAGGAAATACAAATTCTGTACCTCTCCAGGCCGAATCTTGATGAAAAAGCTGCTACGTTTATAAGAAATCTTTAGCACTTTGGGCCAAGGGAAGCGGTTAATTCTCAGCTTATCTTTGTAAACCAGGAGGCCACTAGAGCAGACACCTAGGATGATGTCTACTCCCTCCAAGTCCTGAAAAAGAAAAATGTTAGCATTTCAGTCTGGAGCAAAGTACTCATTATACTGTTGACTATTACTAGATAATCTGAAGATAACCAAAACCAGTTACAAAACATACAATGAAAAAGAAAGCTTAGTCTAACAATTATAATTTATGGGCCTATTATGTTTAAATCAGCAGTCATGACTTCCTGGAAAGCAGGACTTAGAGCTAGGTATACTATCAAAAATATATGCACAATTATTAATATAATTCTTGTTTTTTTATGATAAAGCGGTAATAGCTCCAGAAATCATGTTAAGTGCAGGAGTTAACTCTATTCCTATATAAACTCAGCACAAAACAATCTTAGGCTCTTAAAATCGATGTTAACTATATTAAATTAAAAATATGATCCCTAAGTCAAGATGTTACATTAAGGCACAATGAAGTCATATTTACATGCCTCTTTATTTATTTACTTATTTTTTGAGACAGTCTCGCTCTGTCACCCAGGCTGGAGTGCAGTGGTGGGATCTCATCTCACTACAACCTCCACCTCCTGGATTCAATTGATTTTCCTGCCTCAGCCTCCTGAGTTGGGATTACAGGTGCACACTACCATGCTATTTGTTTGTATTTTTTGTAGAGATGGGCTTTCACCATGTTGGTCAGGTTGGTCTCGAACCCCTAACCTCATGATCCACCTGCCTCGGCCTCCCAAACTGCTGGGATAAACAGGTGTGAGCCACCGCATCCAACCTACATGCCACTTTATTAAAGAAAACTTTTAAAAAATTAAATATGTAATATTAATCATCTATATCTGTAATTCAAAAATCAATTTCAGCTGAGCTAGTTCCTACAGCTAAGATTGTTTAGATAAGTAATCAAAACACAAAGTTAAATGCTTCTTGACTACTCTTTTCCTGAAAATGAGTACAGAGAAATATATTAGTGCCTACATGTATTATATACAAGCATAATAGAGAAGTAGAAATTACATAAATTTCCAATTCAGTGACTGTGTAACTGAGGATTTCCCAGAAGATACCCTCTTAAATTTTTAAAGCTTGTGGGTATAACTACATCTCACTTTGGAAAAATAATTTGCTTTATAATACTGCATCAATACCTGACTTGACACCAGTTTCCAGCAGGAATTGAGAAGTAAAATCCAACAATTTCAGTTCTAGAAATATATCTAATCTGATGTACTGATCTTCCTCCAATATACTTTAGAGATTCATAGAAGTTGTAGTACCCAGCCAAAAACAATTCAGAGCAATTTTTTTTTTTTTGAGACAAGGTCTCAACTGTTGCCCAGGCTAGAGTACAATGGTGCAATCTAGGCTCACTGCAGCCTCTACCTCCTGGGTTTAAGCAATCCTCCCACCTCAGCCTCCAGAGTAGCTGGGACCACCAAAGGAACACACCACCATGCCTGACTAATTTTTTGTAATATCTATGGAGACAGGGTTTCATCATGTTCCCCAGGCTGGTTCCTCCCCTGAGCTTGAGCGATTGACCGCCTCAGCCTCCCAAATTGTTGGGATTACAGGTTTGAGCCACTATGCCTGGCACTGAACCTCCCCAGCAACTTTAGTAGTTGAAGATGAGAAAAGTCAGGAGACTTTCCTTAAGTATTCATTCTGTTAGGCTGCATTAGGTAAAACTAGGATTAAAGCTTCAGTTTCCAGGGTCCTATCCTAGTGGTTTTGGAATGAGCCACTGTGGTTCATTCAGTGTGCCTCAGAATAACCTGGAAAACTTGTTAAAATGTATTGCGCTGAGCTCCACCCCCAGAGATTCTAACTCAGCAAGCCTGGGAAGGGGCCTGAAATATGCATTTCTAACAAGTTCCTAAGTGAGGCTAAATGTTGCTGACTCAGAGACCACACTTTGAGAACCACTACTGTAGGCCAATGGTTTTCATATTCAAGCATGAATTAGAATCATTTGGATGCTTATTAAATCTGGAGATTCTAGAACCTTTTCTCCAAATTAATTCTATAAATATGAGAAGAGCTCAGGAATCTCCATATTTAATAAACACCCCCTTGGTGATTCTCATGTAGGTGGTGCTGGCTGTCAAACAGGTCTGCTGCCCACTGCTCTATATTTTTAAATGTTACTACCTTTTAGGAAAATCAATTTCCTTTTCTCTAGGGGGCTATCTTTTGATCTTAACAGTAGCTTGGATATGAAACTTTATTCGAGAATGGATATGCTAAGAGGAAAATTCAATTGATACAGTTGACTGATTTAACTGATACACTTAAAATGCTAACAAGAACTACTATTTCCCTCTTTTTTTTTGAGATGAGGTCTTGCTGTCACCAGGGCTGGAGTGCAGTGGCACAATCATAACTCACTGTGTCCTCAACCTCCTGGACTCAAGTGATCCTCCCACCTCAGCCTCCTGAGTAGCTGAGACTACAGGCACAAGCTGCTGTGCCTATCTAGTATCTCTTCTGAATGTTTTAAAATACCCCAGTTGTTGGTAAGAAGTATTATATGACACAAATGTGATACATGCATAACAGATATGTATCATATAATGTCTTACACATGGATATTAATAAAGTACAAAGTTATCATTACCTTTGCTTTATGAAGATCAACCCCATACATAGACAACTTTTTGGCATTCTCAAGAAATTCCAAGTCAGCCTGTGCTGGAGTCATGGACCTTTGATAGAATAAAAACATAAAATTCTTTCAGTATCATAGTGTCAGCATTTACAGTAACATTTATATATTCATTGTATTTAAAACACATGAACATATACACACCACTATGTATATAAGATATACTTCCTAGTCCTGAATGTAGGTTATTATGGAATAGGATTCATCACTACCTCTATTTAAATAATTAAAATATGCCTTAGAAAAAGGTATCAAGGGGAAACAAAAAGCCACCAAAAATCTACCCCTTCCAATTTTTTTCAATACTACTAAACAGTTTTCTTAAAGCTATTTCATCTATCATTAGTTCTGCCCCTTTCGCTTTACTCTTTTTCTCCAACATATATAAACTCCTCCCACTAATTTTTCTTGCCAAGGAGATGATCAAATTAAATCCTCAGAGGGCATGGTGCAATTTACGATATCCTCTTATAGCCACCTTTTTTCTCCATACCCCTGAATTGAGTTATGAAAATTAAACAAGAGGGCAGCTAATGTTATTTAACTGAGGACTCTTAATTGGGGCAGGCTTGATGAAAAGAAAATTTCTGGTAACAGATGGTGTCTTGTCCACTGATATAAACAAAATAAACTGGTTAATAGAAGCACATAGATAATGGTGTGCTGCTTTCTCTGTTATTAATATGTCTTCATTACCAGGCATATAATGAATTAGATTTGTTTGAAAACAGTCAGTCTCACTGTCTAAACACTCACTGTGACAGTCTTCTCTCCTCTATAAATTTTCCCTCTTTTGAAAAGTGTTCATGAGCTGTTACATAGAGCTTTCAAGACAAAAATATCACTCCTAATGCTGCACAAGTCAGACCAATCAAGTATAACTTCACAGTAACAATAATACAGCCACATCCCCAAGGAAAAAATATGTAAATGCCAGTTTCCCATAAGACTGCCTCAAGCTAGAGAAAGCTGGAGGGGTCTCTTCATTTAACAAAGAAAAGTCTCTTCCGAATACATCTGTGTTTACCCTAATTAAAAAGACAAAGGATTCCTTGGAACAACCACCACCAAAATATATATATAACAGGAGAGAGGCTGCAGATTTGTTAATGACTCAGACTTCGTGAATAAACTTATTTTCACAAGCACTGAAGCATTCTATCAATTCTATTCATTAATGAACCCGAAATTGAAGAATAAAAGAATGGAAAATTAGCCCCTTATGCAAGTCTCTATATTCAAGTCATTAAAAGCATTTCAGGAAAGTTTTGTACTTTAAAATTGTTTTTCCATCTAAATTACATACATTATTTTCTTTTTCTTTTTTTTGAGATGGAGTCTAACTCTGACACCCAGGTTAGAGTTCCAGCTTTCAGCTGACCGCAACCTCTACCACCTGGGTTCAAGTGATTCTCCTGCCTCAGCCTCCTAAGTAGCTGGGATTACAGGTGCGTGCCACCACGCCCACCAACATGGGGTTTCACCATGTTGGTGAGGCTGGTCTCGAACCCCTGACCTTGCGATCCACCTGCCTCAGCCTCTAAAAGTGCTGGGATTACAGGCGTGAGCCACCATGCCTGGCTAGTTACATTTTTTTCTAGTTAGTGTTACTCCTATTTTATGTTTCTGTTGTTGTTACTGTTATCAATGAGATGAATTTTAGGATTTTCTTTTTCTTTTTTCTTTTTTTCTTTTTGAGACAGGGTCTCACTCTGTCACCCAGGCTGCAGTGCAACGGTGCGAACACAGCTCACTGCAACCTCCACTTCCCAGGCTCAAGTGATTCTCCCACCTCAGACTCCTGACTAGCTGGGTCTACAGGTGAGTGTCACCCCAGCTAATTTTTTTATTTTTTGTACAGAGGAAGTCTCAGTATGTTGCCTAGGCTGATCTTGAACTCCTAAGCTCAAGCCATCCTCCAGCCTCAGCCTCCCAAAATAGTAGGATTACAAGCATGAGCCACCACTCCTGGCTGAATTTTAGGATTTTGAAGCTGGAAAGGAGTTTGAAGTTTAAAGAATATAACAATTTAATTTTGCTGTTGAAGAAACAGGTCCTTAGGGATCACATTATCACAGGCAGGTTAGGACCCTTAGTTGAGACAGCAGACTTAAGTCAGAACTCAAGTCACATTACTTAGGCCAGAATCCAGGCTCCATGAGTGGTCAGCCAGTGTCTCCCTCCATCTCCTCTACAAAACAAGAATCATAATAATGTGTATTTCCAGATACTAGGACAGGCAATGATTTTTTTTGTTTTTGCTGAATGAATGAATGTTACTATTAGGATCGAAATAATGGTTGTAAAACTGCTTTATAGACATGAATAGTTATTATTATTGCAACCTCAGTTTTCTGATAGTCCAGTGGTTCATCTACATACAGATCATAAAATTAAGAGACACAATTTGGATCACTTGAATTTGAAGACAAATTTTAAAACATTAAATAAAACAATCATGATAAAAATCTTCCCTATACTCACTCCTCCTGCCCTACCCTAAGGGACATTAATAGGGTCAACCAATTTGAATATAGATTTAAATTTCACAGTATGTAGTTAGATGCTTCTATAAATAAGCATGCTTTACATGCTTCTATAAATAGCATGCTTCAAAAAATAAGGAGAGATCTTTAACTTTAAAATTTCCTTGTTAGTTGAAAATAATATTTATATTTGAAGTTTGATGTTTGCATTTAAAATTTTTAACCTAATTTTTAGCCAGGCTCAGTGGCACACACCTATAGTCCTACCTACTCTGGAGGCTGAAGCAGGAGTATTGCTTGAGTCTATGAGCCTAGGTGACATAAAGAGACCTTGTCTCTAAAAAAAGAAAGAAAAAGAATAATTTTAGCTGGGTGCAGTGACCTGCAGTCCCAGCTACTTGGGAGGCTGACGCAGGTAGATTGCTTGAGTTTAAGGTTGCAAGTGAGTTATAATTATACCTGTAAATAGCACTGCACTTCAGGTTGCACAACATAATAAGATCCCTTTAAATTTTTTTAAAAAATATATAAAACTAATTTAAGAAAAAAAAAATTATTATTTTTTGAGTCTCACTCTGTTGGGCAGGCTGGAGTGCAGTTGCATCATCTCGGCTAACCACAACCTCCACCTCCCGGGTTCAAATGGTTCTACGGTTCATCTGCCTCAGCCTTCTGAGTAGCTGGTAGCTGGGACCATAGGCGCACACCACTACACCCAGCTAATTTTTGTATTTTTAGTAGAGAAGGAGGGGTTTCACCATATTGGCCAGGCTGGTCTCAAACTCCTGACCTCATGATCTGCCCACTTCAGCCTCCAAAAGTGCTGGGATTACAGGCATGAGCTACCATGCCTGGCCAAGNTTTTAAGAGACAGGGTCTTGCTCTGTTGCCCAGGTTGGAGTGCACGGGCACCATCATGGCTCACTGCAGCCATGACCTCCTTAACTCAAGTGATCCTCTCGCCTCAGCCTCCTGAGTAGCTGGGACCACAGGCGTGTGCCACCGCACCCAGCTAATTTATTAATATTTTTATTTTTGGCAGAGACAGGATCTCCCTTTGTTGCCCAGTCCTGAGTAGCTGGGACTACAGGCATGTGCCACCACACCCAGCTAATTTTTTTTTGTTGTTGTTGTTGTAGTTTTTGTAGAGATGGGGGTCTCATCATGTTGGCCAGGCTGGTCTTGAACTCTTGGGCTCAAGTGATCTGCCCAATTCAGCCTTCAAAAGTGCTGGTATTACAGGCATGAGCCATCTTGCTCAGCCTTAAAATTTCAATTTATTTATGTCAGTACAGACTGATGAATTTTCATTTTATTCAATGTAGTACATCAATTATTTTCCTTATTTATTTTAATGCTTAAATTGCCCCAGATTTGATCAGTGGGAACCTCTCCAAGCTAGATTCTGTGTCCTTCTGACAATTTCCCATCATTTTTCCAGTATTTCCTTCTGATACAATGTAGTAGAGTTTGTATCTGTGTATGTATCTACCTTTTTACATCTATATTTTTATTTCTACCTATCTATATATTGGAAACCACAAGTTCACATTGAAGCCTCCAGTTTTAACACAATATCCTAACAGGGTTCATTTTAGTTTCCCCCTTTCCATAATTTAGGTCTCCCTTTACTGACAGTGAGAAACCTGGCTCTCATTACCCTGAACACATTGACTAATTTGATCAGTCCCTCTCGATATGACCATATAATCTCTCATTGCAGCCATGGACTCCTCCCATATGTAGATGCCCTTTTCACCCTACTTGAACCCTGAATTCCCCATTCTGGGCTTCTCAGTACACGTGGATGTCCTCCTTACCTCACCAGGGTTCTGACTGCTGATGTGGGACCATCTCTTCACCCTGCTTAGGTTTTGACACTCTGCATCAAGTACCACCCACTATGGATGCCTCCCACATCCTGCGTAGGCCTTTCCCCCACATGGATGCTCTTGCTCTGTTTGGCTTCCGAAACCCACCACAAGTTGCCCACACATGACTATCATCCTCATCCACTTGAAGCTGACTCTTCATGCCAGGCTGACTTCTCACTCTTCTTAGGCCTCAATATTCCAAGCCAGACTGCCCCTCTGCATGGATGACTACCTTGCTCTGCCCCACCTAATGTTCCCAGAAAGCTTTTTCTGATTATAAAAATCATACACATTCACTGTATGAAATTTGGAAAATATCTTTAAGAGCACAGAAAAGAAAATCTATAGTCTCACCACCCACAGACATCTTTGCATGTTAACACAACATGTATATTTAAAAAATTAATATCACAAAATAAATTATTTTTTGCCTTAAAATTTTAATGATCAAGGTTTTCCCTAAAATTTCTAAGACCTTTGAAAGTCATAACAAACCAGCTGGGAAGAGATTAGATACCTCTAAACCATTAAAAGTAGTGTCTTGAATTTATTCAGTACCACCTAATAATTTACTACTTGTTAAGTACTGCAGCTTATGAAAGTACCTGACCAGAAGGCTCTGGCACTGGTTAACTCTTGCTCATTAAGAAGAGAAGTTACAATAAAGTTTCCCTACATTT